TTATTGTGTTATAACACTGATTATCGTGTTATAACACTGATTATCGTGTTATAACACTGATTATCGTGTTATAACACTGATTATCGTGTTATAACACTGATTATCGTGTTATAACACCGACACGGTCATCCTGTTATAACATGATCATCAGCAGTTATAACATTGATTATTGTATTATATAGCTGCTGCAAACAAACATGTTCTGTCTGACCCATTCTATCAGCTGCTGCAGACTACTGTAAGGTTCTGTCTGGCCCACTCATGCAGCTGGTTCTGGTTCTGGTTCTTTCTGTATGTTAGTTGTAAATCTCTGTACAGTGTACATACAGTAACAGTTGGTTAAAATGCACATGTTGTAGATATAAACAGCGGTTCTGAACTGTTTTGGACTCTGTGAATGTGGAGGTTCTGGACTCTGAACTCTGCACCTCTAACTCTATGCCTAAAGTTTGTTTTGTTTTGATCCACAACTTGTTTTTTTTAGATTAATGCCATGTCATGAATATAGATTAACTGTGTGTAGTATGAAATCCTGACCAGTCATCTCAGTAGATATTTTTCTTTTATTTATATTTTTATGTTTATTGTGGCTAGAGGAACTCATTTTATACATTCCTTTCATTTCAACTGTTTTTTTTTCTTTGTGTCTTTTTGGAGGACAGTCAGTGTGACAAAAAAACTGCCCCTACTTATTTAATAAACAATAAAGACAAAACAGTTTTTTTAGCTCATGCGTCTTGTCCAAACTGTGGAAGCACACTGATAGCAGCTCAGTATTAACGGATCCTCACATGTCCAACAGAACCGTTCCTTCACTCTCACAGGTAGGTGTGCTGCAGGTGAGCATCAGTCTGACAGCAGGCTTTAAATAGGTCAACACAGAAATGACTATTACACAGACATTTATAGTAAATAAGTACATTTACTTCATTACCAGTGTTGTATAAAGTACCACAAAGTAATACTTGAGTAAAAGTACAAGTATCTTACCAAAAAATTACTTTGATAAAAGTTTCAGTCTCCTTTAGGAATATTACTTGAGTAAAAGTCTTAAAGTATCTGATATTTTTGTATTTAAGTATTAAAGGTAAAAGTATAGATTTAAAATGAGCAGTTAGATTTTCTGTAAGGACATTTAGGAGGTGACCTCCCCAAAAACTGCAGAAATGACTATATTGTATTAAAATAATTAATTAATGTTAAATTTAGGATGCACTAGTCTGTTTCAGTTTATATACATATATCAAGGGTGTCCAAAACATTTTCCCAAAATGAAAATCTATCTGAGGGCTGCGTCCAAATGTAAACACATATGGAGCTAAATTGGGGTCATTAGTTTTGTTCTAAATAAAAAAAGCTTTTGAAACTGAAACAAAAAGAGATTTGAAACTGAAAGATAATTTTGAAACTGGGATAACATTGAAACGGAAAAAGAGAAAAGATTTAAAACTGAATGAAAATTAGAAAAGTGAAAAATTTTAAACAACTTGTCTTTTCAGTTTCAAATATTTTTTTCAGTTTCAAATTTTATTTATTTATTTATTTATTTTTTCAGTTTAAAAATTATTTTTCGGTTTTAATTTTTTTTCCATTTTCAAATTTTTTCCCCTTTCATACCTCTTATTTTTCATTTTCAAAAACTTTTTATTTTGAACAAAAATTATGACCCCAATTTAACTCCACAGTTATAATTTCAGTAAAAATCTGACCTCTAATTTAACATTTGCTAAGAAAAAAAGAACATCTTTGCACCAATGTTTACCTTTCAGACAAGGGCAGTATTTTAAATATAATGTTCATTCATGCCTTGCAGAAAATTGTGTTTTTCACAGGTGCAAAAATAAAATTAGAACAAATTTCTTTGATTTAACCTGAGCTGCAACAGGAAAATGACCAGAAGGTGAGGCCAGAGAGCAGGAGGGAGGAGCCGTGACGTCACAGTGGTTACGGGTGTGACGTTTAAAGAAGCCCCGCCCTCGGCCGGACCTCCTTCTGATTGAAAAAGCGTAGTCACCAAGCAGCCATTACAGTAGCAATAAAGGTAGTAACTGGATATTGTTTTTTTAGGAGCGGACTATCAAAGTGTGTGAACATTACGGAATTTTTTGTTTTTGGGGAGTGTTTTGTGGAGAAATAAAAGCGGGACATCTGAAGAAGGCTAATTCAGAAGAATTTGTTTTTCTATAAAGGACTATATTTTCTTATACGTAAAGATTAGGGCAGCGGAAGGATTCGGCTAACTTTAGATATCAAGGCGTTGCTGCTGTTCTCCGATCTCCGCCATTATCGATATTTAATCTTCAATTATTTTTCATTTTTGTTGTTTTTGCTGGGTTTTTTCTTCGGTCTGTGTCCTTATTTAGATGGCCAGCTTCCCAGACTCTGTAAATGAGAATGATATAGGTGAGTACTTGTGTCGTTTATACAAGAACAGGTCCACGTAGCAGAGCGCTCTGGCTCATTTCCTGGAAGTGAGTCACCGTGCCTATGATACGCTAAAATATGTTTACATTTATTAAATTAAGTGATTTGACGTGTTTGATTTGTGTAGAAGACGGACAGTTTTCATGTTGGTCTGTTTGTTATTGTTTCTTTGAGTAGTGACTTGTGTTTGTTCACAAATACTTCAAGTGTTTTCTCGGAGTTTCTGTTCTTTACCACGGAGTCAGTCCGTTCCGCCCTGGTGTACGTGCCCGCCTGCGTCTTCAATATCCGTCCATCCATCCATCCATCCATCCATCCATCCATCCATCCATCAGGCGGGCTGACAGTGATGATACAAAAGAGTAGATGTGCTTTTGTAAAACTTGCAGATATGATGGGGTGAACTAAGACCATAAACTTGTAGAATATAAACATACAGGAGGGCATTATTTATGTGATGGTCCAGGAACAGCCAGAGGTTTTAACAGAACACTGGCATGGTTCGACAAGACTTTTTTTTTTTTTACCTGCCCTGTTGGGCAGGTGACGACAAATGTTACCTGACCCACATGAAAAGCTACCTGCCCAAAACAAAAATGTTAAAATTTTGATAAAATAAGAAAAAACGTGTACTGTATTTGTACTACAAAAATACTAACATGGTTATAAAGAGGTATATAATATATGACATCTTATTAAACAGAAGCACGTTTTATACAGAGTTACTAACAGTCAATTGTTTTATCAAGAACAGCTTCAAAAACTTTTAGACCTTTCCAGTGTTTTCCCTAGTGTATTGGCCTTGGGGGCGGGGCTTATTAAAACAGAACGATCCACAGCAGCAGCGTTGTTTTAAATACAATTTACAGAACAAGAAAAAGTCTACAATTTGTATTAAAATATATAGCCTATCCCATATCTAAAGATACTTTTAAGATATCTTGAACTGGAGTATCCATACAACTTAATGATAGCTGACGTTATTTATACAAGTCAGAATATAATTAGAGATATCTTAAATAGGTATTTTGAATTGTCAAAGTATATTAAGAGATGTCTATTTATTTGTTTCTTTCATTCATAAAAACAAAATCATCTCTATGTACAGCATTAAAAAAACAAAGTAATTCATACCTTGAATTAAAAGGGTGCAGATTTAAAAAAACTCATCATATTTTACCCCTTACACAAACAAGTTCAAGCTGGATAGATCTCCAAATTTTTAAAAAGTAAATTAAACAAAATAATAAAAGAAAACATTTTATTATTTTATCCTAAATAACTAACATGTCTAATTTAGTCACAAAACAATTTCAGATAACTAGAATATAAGTGTGGTGAAGTCAAATAAATGTTGTATCGGCCTGCCATACAATGAGCTTCCACCTGCTGAATTGACCCGCTGCTGCCCTCTCATCTTTATCATCAGAGCAGAAGCTGACATTAGCAAGATAAATTGATGACTGAACGAATGTCCAAAGAAATGGTTTACCTGCCCATTCGGGCAGGCATCGGGACACACCCACCTGCCCGAATGTGGGTTTTACCTGCCCCGGGCAGTCGGGCAATAGGATTTGTTGAACCCTGCACTGGTATAGTTTTTTGGTGTCCATGTAGACCAGGATCAGATGTACAGGTCTGTTCTTGTCTAGACTTCACATTCTGTTCCAGTTCCTTTATAAAAACCCTTCTGATTACTGACATACTGGAGACCAGGGCCAGAAGGACAACACGTGAAGGCTGAACGTGCTGTTTTATTGAAGTGTCATAATGTTTTGGGGTGTGTTTGTTTTAGTTTACTGTTGTGAAAGTTGATGAGTCAATGAACAGGTTTTAATGAAACATTAAGATAGTACTCTGTGGGTTGGATATGTTTTGTAGACATGGTCAACTTACTGTAATTCAAGATAACCTAATATTAAACTCAAGGATCTCTGTCAGTTTCACAGACCTTGACCTAAAATTTGTTGTGGTAGTAGGTAGGTGTGTGCTCAGACTGTGGAGGAGACAGATGAGCACTTCAGTTAAGCTTGAACCCAGAAACAATGGGCCTCATGCAAGAACCGTTCGTACGCACAGATTTGTTCTTAAGTTGTGCGTACGAGTGATTTAGGAGAATTTGTGGCATTCACC